GGGGGGGGGTCCATAGTAGTCCCTAGAGCTCTGGGATGGTCCATAGGGATCTGGGGAGTCCACTGAGCTCCCGTGGGCTCCACAGGGGTCTGGGAATCCCAGGTGTGAAGGGGGGGACTGATCTGGCAAACTGCTGAGGTCAGTTTATGGCTCCCAGGTGAGAAATGCGTGTCCTCTGCTCGCTTTGCCATTAAAGTTCATGGTGAAAATATTTTAGGTTTTTTACATCCATTAAGTGGGGCCATCTTTCAGGTACAGAGCACTCATTTGTTCCTTTATGCTAGCTAGGATTCCTGGCTTCAGCCCCCAGCCACACAAAACCATCTGTACTGTATTCAGATGACCAACCAAGTGCCTCCTCGCTGTCCCCAAGGATTCTTTGGTCCATCAGCCCCCGTCCACACCCATCTCCTCCCAGTCACGCCACCTCCTGAGACCTTCCTCGATCTCCACAGCATCTTGTAACACTTTGCCTCCCTTTCTCTCTTATTCTGTCAGAACCTCCCATCTTGCTTTGCTACACAGAGCTCCTTTATCCTTCTCTGCCATGTTTTGTCTTCTCTGCCAGGTTATGTCCATTTGATTCCTCTCTCGTTGATCTGTAGCTTGCCCAGATGCCCTCGCCATGTCTTTTCTTACCCTGCTCCCTCATAATGGCTGTTTTCTCTATAGCAATGTTTTCCCAATCCTGTCCCATACTCCATCGCACTCTTGTAGCACGTCAGCTCCTTTTAGACTTTAGGGGTTTGTGCTCTTCAGGGCACCCATACCTACTCTTTGCTGCTTAGGATGCCTTCGTTCTGTCCCCAGTGCCCTGACAAGATCTGTGCTTTGTTAAAATGCCCTTCAGAGTTCCACATCTTTATCTGTGTTCCTTCTTTGGTCTTTCACGCACCCCACAACTCCTCCGGTACCTTTGCTGAGCTTTCATGAGGCATCCCCTACACACCTACACCCCATTTCAGCTGCAGAGAGCAATTTGCATTCCTCTTTTCCTGTCAGAACCATTCCTAAATCCGTATCTGCTACCTGGGTCAATCTTTCTGTCCTTTCATCCGTTTGGTACACCTGTATTCAGTTCCCCATTCCCTGAAGAAACCCGTACTTTGCTCAATTCTCTTTTGAGGTCATTGCATCCTTGAGACTTCTTTGGTCTCTCTGGCCCCTTT